TCCCCCCCCCGCCCTGTGGCCTGTGGTGGTGGTATGGTTCTTCTGGTCCCCCTCCCCCTGTGGCCTGTGGTGGTGGTATGTTGGGTATGTTGGTATGTTGGTATGTTGGTATGTATGTATGTATGTATGTATGTATGTATGTATGTATGTATGTATGTATGTATGTATGTATGTATGTATGTATGTATGTATGTATGTAGTAATGTATGTATGTATGTATGTATGTATGTATGTAGTAATGTAGTAATGTAGTAATGTATGTATGTTCTGTTGGTATGTAGATGTCTGTAGTTGGTATGTATTTGGTATGTATGTTGGTATGTAGGTATGTATGAATGTATTGATGTAATGTATGTATGTAATGTAGTATGTAATGGATGTAATGTTATGTAATGTATGTAATGTATGTAAATGTATGGTAATGTATGTATTAGTATGTATTAGTATGTATTAGTATGTATTAGTATGTATTAGTATGTATTAGTATGTATTAGTATGTATTAGTATGTATGTATGTATGTATTAGTATGTATGTATGTATGTATTAGTATGTATGTATGTATGTATGTATGTATGTATGTATGTATGTATGTATGTATGTATGTATGTATGTATGTATGTATGTTGTATGTATGTATGTATGTATGTATGTATGTCTGTGTGTGTGTATGTATGTATGTATGTATGTATGTATGTATGTATGTATGTATGTATGTATGTATGTATGTATGTATGTATGTATGTCATGTATGTCATGTATGTCATGTATGTCATGTATGTCATGTATGTCATGTATGTCATGTATGTATGTATAATGTAATGTATGTATAATGTAATGTAATGTAATGTATTGTATTGTATTGTATTGTATGTATGTATGTATGTATGTATGGGATGTATGGCATGAATGGTATGTAATGTAATGTAATGTAATGAGATGTAATACGTAAATTGCAATGTAATGTAATGTAAGGGATCGACATGTATGTAATGTAATGTAATCTAATGTAATGTAATCTAATGTAATGTAATCTAATGTAATGTATGTAATGTATGTAATGTATGTAATGTATGTAACGTATGTAATGTATGTAATGTATGTAATGTATGTAATGTATGTAATGTATGTAATGTATGTAATGTATGTAATGTATGTAATGTATGTAATGTATGTATGTATGTATGTTTGTATGTATGTATGTATGTATGTATGTTGGTATGTATGTATGTATGTATGTATGTTGGTATGTATGTATGTATGTATGTATGTATCTTACTGGGTAAATTGTGAGGATCGCACTGCGACCGAACCCTGGGATTATGGTTAATAAGGGAAATCATCCCCAAATGGCCGCAAGATTCAGGTTAGTGACATATTGTAATTTACCCAGATTTATGTATATTATTGTATATTACCTTCTGGTAAATTAGCATAGACCCTTAAAATAAAAAAAAAAAATAGTGGAAGCTAATCTTCCAGCCCCTATCTGCCAGGGTCTATGTTAATTTACTGGAGGGTACTGTATGTATATATATTTATGCATATACATATATATATATGTATGTAGCCACACTACAAAGATAATTGGGATATGGTATAGTTATAGCTGATGCGATGGTACTTGACAGATGTATTAAATGGGATATATATATTGAAGAGCCACAGTCGTCATGGTTTATGGGGACCATCCATGGTTAATATCCCATGTTATCCTTTAGGTTACTACTAATGATAGATGTGATATGTTCTATATAGTTAGTATGTGTTACTATATTCTAGTGATATCCTATGAAAAAATACGTGTTACTACTTACCTAGATGGGCCATCCATTACATATCCCATTTAATACATCCTCCATATATCCCATGATATTCCCAGAAGCCCCGAAGTAGCCACTTGATATGGGATTAGCGAACTAAGTGGTTAGTACCCATGGGCTTAGATGGGCCATTGGATTAGCGATTCATGGTTATAGTAACTGGCGTGTAAACCACCAACAAGAGAAGGACAATAATTCGCTCTCGGAATTGTTTGAGTAGTGAGCCATCCCTGATGTGGGCGTCCTGAACAAACATTGGGATTGAAGACGGTTTCATGTTGGACCAGGCAAAATGGAGCTGAAAAATGGGATGAACAGGATCACAACATGATCAGACATGGATCATGGCCAAACACCGACCAACAAATGAATGTACCCCAAATCATCTAAAGAGGATTTTCCACGAAATAAACCATCCTAAGCTCGCTTGGGGTACCCCCATTTGAGGAACCCTCCAGCCAGGGACCTTGCCCGAAAGGCCCCGAAATTGGCAAGCCCATCCGCCCAGGCGCATCCAGCCTGGCTTGAAAAAGCCAATGCGAACCCAGCCAAGGTGGGAACGTAAAAATTGCATATCCCAACAACTATACCCTCTGGTAAACTAACATAGCTATTGAACATGGCCATTGATAGTGAGTTTTCCCATTAAAAATGGTGATTTTCCATAGTTATGTTAGTTTACCAGAGTGTAAGTGGTAATGCAATGATGGATGGCTAGTTATATATATATATATATCCTATATATAGAGAAAAGGCCGAGCTGTTACTAGAATAGTTTGATATATCATGATATTTTTTGACATATAGGAAGTCCAAGAGGTTGGCTATTCTGACACCATAGCTCATACATTCCGTTACTTTGGTTTAGTGTTTGCTTCTTCATTTCCATGTCTGGATGGGTCGAAATCGGTTCCCAAAGAATGGGATGATCTGGTGGGATCACGTAAAGCATCGAAACAACATGTCCATTAGAAAGGAACATCTCCACGGATAACAGGGTGATCCCGCCCCCAGTTCAGTTTTCTTTGGTTCCTAATCCCCTTGAACTACAACTATATCATGTTGTATCCCTCCAATGATGATGATAATATCAGGTGATATTCCCCCAATTGTAGTTAGGTCATGTTACTTTTACACTCTGGTTATGACTAACATAGCCATGGCATAGATGGCCCATTTATAGATGGTTTACCTATTAAACATGGTGATTTTACATGGCTATGTTAAATAACCAGATGGTATATCATGTTACTTTTATATCCATCCCCCAATCAAAACGTATCCGAAAGTTATTCGAGTTCTGTGGCCCCCAGTGGCCTGCAGGAAAACCACTTGGCGCACGGTGGGGTGACAGTGATCAGCAGATCACCCCTGCCCTGATAGCCAGGGCGGGTGTCGGAGTTCTTTGAAAGTAGGGTAGTTAATTCATGTTAATGTACTGAACTAAACCACCAAATATATGTAACAAAATAGTAAATTAATATCACCATTTGGAAAATAACCATATATGGAACAAAAAAACCAAATCCCATATGGTGATTTTCCGAAATGGCCGTAGACTGTATATGCCCAATTAGAGGAACACAGTTTGGTCAAAAAAAGGTTCTCCGCTGGCCGAGGGAATCAGGCAGCTCGCCCAAGGCGACGCCGTAGATGGGTGAAATGCTTGGGATCTCATCCTGGAATTTGAATAGCTGGAACAGGCTGGAACAGGCTGGAACAGGCTGAAACAGGCTGAAACATCGAAAGACTGCACCAATCAGTGATGAAAAAGAATGAATATGTTTGGAGCTTGAGGTTAATATGGTTAATGGCCGATCTATTCAAATTTCGCGGCATCCCAAGTCCTCAGCTTGAGACTCAGTTTGTTTGGTCGGACCTCAGATTGCCCCTAGCGAAGTAGCCTATGTTGATAGACTTTTCAAGCACCAAAACTCGGAAGATGTTCAAATGAGTGGATCACATCAGTTTTTTTTTTCCAGGGGGAACTCCCATCTTCCAGGATCACGTCTGGCAGTCTGTTGAAAATCCCCTGCTGAATCGTGTTGCTTGACATCCTCAGAACATTCGTTGGAAAAGCATGGAAAAGCATGGAAAAGCATGGAAAAGCAAGAAAAAACCATCCTGGCTTGCCACTTTGCTATCACATTCTCGTATCTCTCCAAGCTGGGGCGTTTCCCCCATGGCGCCACACGACGTGAGAACGCGCTGAAAGTCAGCAGCGCGACGTGATTTGGCGGCGCCCAAGCTCACCCTGCAAAAAACATGCGGCGCCTTGCTGAGGTTCTCGATACACACTGTATACTTTCTGATGTGCTAAACCCAATATGTTTGATGGTGAATAGCCATCCATGTCTGAAGAATTCTGAAGATAATTCTTGGGGATGATTTATTACTGTAATTATGGGGTTTATCGAATTATGCCTATAGCCTTATGTTTTTCAGATGTTGGTGTCCTTGTTTTTTGTTCTAGATTTTAGCCATTAAGTCAGTAGTGAAGCCCCATTTTTGGTGATGTCCATGTTGTTGAAATGTGCAAAACATTCTTCAAACAATGTTCAAAAACAACGTCCCAAGACTCACATTTCCATTGTAATTCAAAGCAACATTTTTCTTGACACCTTACTTGCAAGACACATGTTCACACAGTCTTGATCTTGGAATCAAGAAACGGTTGAACTCAGAAATGGTTCTAAGAACCCCTTTTGGTATAGAACCAAAAAAGGGTTGCAAGAACCATTTGGATCCATTTGGTACTACATAAGCCCCTTTGGATTGGGCCCCTTTTAAATCTCGCTTATTAAGGAGCGCTGTGCGTTTGCCCACCCGAGCATTCTACATTGAATCTGGACACTGAGTGAGTATTTTGAACAGGTCCACTGTGAACATGTTTTTCCAAACCTATTATTGCCATATGATTGGGAAAAAACAACATCCATTAACCAGCCATTTTGTGTACCCAAAGTTTTGACGATAAAATAGCCAAAGAAGATCAAAGAAGTCAAATTTGGCATGATGTGACCCAATTTTTTAGTCGTTTATGACTGGTTGGTGGTTTCAAACATTTTCTATTTTTTACAATATATGGGATAATCCTTCCCATTGACGAACTCATATTTTTCAAGATGGTTATTGCACCACCAACCAGATGAGGTCGCCCAGTTGACATGTCTGCGCAGGACTCCTGGAAAGCTCAAGGCTCAAGCCTCTGATGCCGTGTGACATCGGAGTGCCGTCCTGGTGAAAGGTCTTCAACTATTGTCTGGTTGGTGGTTTGGAACATGAATTTTATGACTTTCCATATATTTGGAATCATCATCCATCCCAACTCCAACTGACTCATATTTTTCAGAGGGGTAGGTTGAAACCACCAACCAGTTGTTGATTTATGGTGATAATGGGGTTTTAACTATCAATAAATGGGGACATAATATGAGATAATGGGATAATATGGGATAATATGGGAATATAGGATATTTTACCAATGATATTTACGTCACCTAGCATGCATTCGAATGGTAGATATAGGGTGTAAAACCATGCCAAGCCAAAGGATCCTGGCTCTTGGCTCTTGGCTCAAAGACAAGGTATCGAACCCTTCCTTGTTCACCATGCTGAGCACCCAGTGTGCCAGCCATCCGAGAAATGTCACGGCAGCCATGGCTCCGACGGCTTTGGCTCCTGGCCCTCACTGGCCTGGCGCTGGCGGAGCCACTGGTGTCGTGTGAGGCAGACGCAGCGGACTGGGAAGAGTGTCTTCCCGAAGAAGATACGCTGCTGCTACAAGTGGGAGTTCGAACCTTGACGACTCAATGTTTACCAGGGATGGAATTTTGCCAAAGCCCCAGCAATTGTTGGTGAACTGAATGGTTCTTCGATTCTTCCAAATATATTCCAATATTCCACAGTTGATTCATTGGGGCCCCTTCAACTACAAATTGAAATGGCCCTTCCTAAATGAGGGGAACTTCCATGCAAATCAATCCAAATCATCTAGTGTCCAATTGGACCGTTCAGCATTGAAACTGAAACAGCGACGGGTTTTATCGGGTACCCCTTTCTGGTTGGTAGTTTGGAACATGAATGTCATTTTTCATAATATATGGGATAATCCTTCCCATTGACGAACTCATATTTTTGATGGTTAAAATAACCACCAACCAGATATTATACTATCAACTATCCCATTGGGCTAAAAATCGGGGGGGTGACCATGGTTACCGGACCACCAGCGAAAAATCGGGGGGAAATCACAACTTCCGACCATTTTTTCATCGGCCCAGGAGTGTTTCCGGTGAACTCCAGCGAAATTCTTCTGCCGGGCAACGTGAGTCTTTTCACCCAACAGACGCTGCGGCGGAGTGCACCTTGGCGACGTGGGGACTGTGGGGAGCTGATGATGATCGGAGTCAGGGCATCAGGATAAACATGAAGTAATTTTATGATATTTTCACATATTTTCTATGAGAAAAACACGTTCAAGAGAATAATTATGTTCCATGTATTTTCCATGATGTTCCATGCCTTTTTGTTAGATTGTTCCATCTATTTTCTAGTGTGTGGAGTGTTGTGTCAACCTGTCGAATGGGAGATTTACAAGTTTACAAGAAGTGGTTTTGTTAGGGACATATTGTACGAAAAAGAGGGAAGTGTTGGCACAAAGAAAAGACATGAGTATATATATATTATACATATACACATATACACATTACACACGTACTTGTACACAACCAACAACACTGGGAACAATGAATAAACATGAACGTCACTGTGGTTTATGCAGGAACCACGAGTCTACCGATGACTTAGCCTGTCTTGAATTAGACCAAATCTGTGGTGTTTGGCGCAACAAGTCTCCATGGCCACAATTGGCAATGGTTGGATAAGTTGCACCCAAGTTTCTTCGTTGATCTTTGCTAAATCGTCACTTCTTTGGAACTTGTACCTGGTATACCTGAGTTGCTTTTCTGTGAATGGCGCGAATGGCGCCCTTCGTGACCGGTTGCGGAGTGATGAATTTTGAGGTCTTGGAGAGTGGAGTGAAATTCGGACCCAAGACCAGCGCTGCATTGTTTCTTTTGCTTAGCTGCCCCTTGGCATAGAGTTGGAGTCGCGGAATCATAGAATTCCTTAGGTTCCTTACCCATGACGGATCCATGGTGCTGGTATATATGCTAACAATGGGGGTATATTGATGGTTAATGATGGTTAATGTTACCATCATTAACCATACATCGATCCTATGGCTTAGGGTTTCGTCTTGCTCTTGTTTTATCTTGTCTGCTTGTCACAATCTTCGTGCATCCTTCGTGCATCATCAACAGAAAGTTACCGCAGCAAATTTATAAATCCGGAGTTAAGTTACTATCATTCAGCAAGATTATTATCTTATTATCATCTTCGATTCTAGATCTTCTGTTCGTCCCAGAGTTCATAGCGTTTTCATTGCTTGTGTACAAACCAAAATCCAGAGAGACACCGAAACATCGAGGTACCTTCGGCTTTGCGTGTCTCTGTGGAAATGCCAAGCCGTTCATTACAGCTCCGTCCCTTGGTACGGAGGGCTAGCGGATCCTGAAGCAGCGGTGTAGCCGTTACTGTCCGCAGGCTACTTGTTCAATTTCTTTTTGGAACTCGGACGGTTTTTGACCACAATGACTGGGACTGGTGGTGACTGGAACCATGGAATTTTATGACTTTCCATATATTTCCATATAATATATTGGATACATTGGGAATTTCATCATCCCAACTGAAGAATTCCATCATTTTTCAGAGGGGTAGGTTGAAACCACCAACCAGATGATCTTGTCTTCAAATCAGTTTTAGGGGGGGAATTTCTACAGCATGTTTCTGGTTTGGATCATATCTTGGGATGTTCACCATGAAAATCAGCCCAGCTCGCGCTTTGCGCTCGCACGAGGTATTCAGAATTTCCCGAAGAAGAGGAAAGAGACTTGGTTGCCAGTGATAGCCTCTGGTACTCAAACATGGCTTGCCCGTTTGATGTCCTGGACTTCCTTGTTTACTTAGTTTACTTCAATGATTTTCCCATTCCTCCGTTGAATAAAAGGGGATTTCTCAGCAAGCCATGTTTGAAGGGCAAGAGATCTGATGAACATCCGAGTGTGTTGGAGTTCGTATGATTTGCCGAAGAGGATGAACACCAATAGCTACCAGCAGTACTGCTGTGAAGGCAAGGTACCAGGGTTTGGATCTGTGAACGTGAATTTTAGTGAATATCCTCTAGATGTGGTTTGAAAAGCGACACCCAACAATCGGTTCCCATGGCTGCACTCGCAGTCCACTTGGTAGGATAGTGCCAGGAATTGGCTGTTTGCATCTGTTTGCTAACGATGGCTACTGCGCCACTGGTTTTTGTGAGAGTACAGCACCCTCCAATCGGTTGGAACATCTAGAAATTACTCAGTTACTGACTGTCATCAAAGCCTAGCCATCTATGAGTCACTAGCCATCTATGTTTTGAGCATGTTCCCCACCTGTTCCAGCTTCAAATTCCTCAAATGGAGGTTTCCTAGAATAGGGGTACCCCATCCAATCATCCATGTTAAATTGTTAAATCCGGATTTTCCATGAAATAAACCATCCAGCTATTGGGGACCCCCATTTTAGGAAACCTCCAAATCTGGTTGGTGGTTTCAAACATGTTTTATTTTCCATTTCATATATGGGATGTCATCCTTCCCATTGACGAACTCATATTTTTCAAGATGGTTATTGCACCACCAACCAGAAATAGATCCATTTTTCATGGTTAAATTGGTTAAATCTCCATTGTTCATGGTTAAAACCACCACATTAGTTGGTAAAAACTACCAATCTCAAATGCCCCATATTTCCAACAATCAGGTGAAGAGGTGCGGCAGCAGTCGTTGCTGGCATGCTACTTCGTGGAGCCTCGGCAGCAGGCTGAGCAGCCCATGGGTCCCATGGCTGCTTCGGTTTACCTTAAAAGGTGGGCAACAAGACACTCAAAGTAGCAACAAAGATAGCTGGTTGGTGGTTTGGAACATGACTTTTATTTTTCCATAAACAGTTGGGAATCTTTAATCATCCCAACTGACGAACTCACTCCATCATTTTTCAGAGGGGTAGGGCTCAACCACCAACCAGGTTAGGTTTAGTAGTGGTTTATTTATGATTGGAACATTGATCATTGAACCAATGATTGATTACTATGGTTTATGAAAGGTGATATATTACTGTTAATTAGTGATTATAAATAAACATTATACCCTCTGGTTATTTAACATAGCCATGGTATAGATGGCCCATAGAAATAGATGGTTTACCTATTAATAGCATGGTGATTTTCCATGGCGAACTGTTAGTCATATATAACCAGATGGTATAATATATGATCATCATTTTCCCATTAACTATAGTTTATCTATCATAAACCATAGTTAAGCCACTTATTAAATAACTTATTCCTGGTAACTCAGATGGTTTTTTCGACGGTTCTGAGTTGGGAGCCAGGTCACGCTTTCGGATTACACAAAAAAAAATCGACGAATTGCTCATCGAACGCCACGTCTGGCCACTTAGGAATGACAGTATCAAAGAAGAATTCAAGCAACGCATGACCTAGAAGCCCTGCACAGAAAAAAAAGACAATGCATGCATATAAGTTATATATATATATGCTTTATTCTGCATAATGACAATGAGAAGAGGCATGATTTTGGGAGCATTCCTAGCCCAGGCACCCACAGTAATTCAGAACGAAGCATCAAGCATCTGGGATGTTTGCGTCATGATTGAGTGTGCGTGTTTTTTTTGATCAGTGTCATCAGCTTCAGCATGAAGGTATTTGTTCGGATACAGGATTATGATATTGTGGAGGATGAGGATGAGGAGGAATGATAATGGATAAGAATGTGGATGTGGATATGGATGAGGATGTGACTGAGGTGTCAAAATTTGAAGATCCCTCAAATGCACAGATGAAAGATTCTGTTAAAACTATAGCCATGCGCATTGTTATGCGTAGCTGCCCACATTTGATGCATACCTAGTACAGCTGTCAGTAGTGAAATCCCCACCAGTCAGGTCTTTATGGATGCTTTCGGCTTTGGAGTCTACGCACCCTGGCCTGGCAATTTTTTTGGGCCAATCTGACATGACGTCATGAACTGAAGAACATGTTGATTTCAGCAACAGTGAAAACTTAAAACGGAGTCGGGGAGACATTCATCGGTTGCTAATTTTTCACATCATATACCCTCTGGTAATTTAACATAGCTATTGAAAATGGCCATTTATAGTGGATTTACTCATAAAAAATGGTTATTTTCCATAGCTATGTTAGTTTACCAGAGGGTAATAATCTATACGATGCTATAAGAGCGCGATGCAAGG